AACCAAAAGTTGTACGTGTGGCTAGTTGTACCCTCATCATAATTGTAAATATTGTTAATTATCTAATAAAAAGCCTCCGGCCATAGAGGTCACCTAAAAAAAAAAAAATAAAAAAATAATTTATATATTATAATCTTATAAAATTTTATACTTATTTAGAATTTATCTAGATTTGTATAAAGTTTTTAAATCTAGACTACTCTAGTAGTTTTAAATTATATATAATTATTTTAACTTATAGTTTAAACTTTTATTCTTGCATATAATTTATATTTATTTGTTATTATACAAATTAAGTTTTATATAGTTCTATATAGTTTCTATATAACTACTTATATAAATTATTAAATAATAATACAACAAGGCCTTGTCTTAAAACCAAAAAAAAAAAAATTGTATAAAGTTTTTAAATCTAGATAAGTTTTAACTACTCTAGTAGGTTTAGCTTGCAGATAAATCAGTCTAAGCTTTTATTCTTGCATGTAATTTATATTTATTTGTTATTATACAAATTAAATTTTTATATAATTTTTTTATATAACTACTTATATAAATTATTTAATAAAAATATGAGCAAAACTTCACTTTAATACCAAAAAAAATTTTATAATTAAAATATTAATTTACAATAAATTATATAACTCTAGCAATTAATTTATTTTTTTTAAGTCTTCTCTAATTATCATAATATATTTTTAATAATTATATTTTAATATTCTAGACAATAGAAGACTATTTGAAGCAATAAAAAGCTTATAAAAGACTTGGCTAATTATTTTTGTAATAAACTAAACTATCAAAGCAAAAATTTAAATTTATTGCTTAAATTTTGATTAAATTATACCAAACATGCTTCACTATGTACATTAGCTAAAGCGAGGCCCATAATGCATACATAAATTTATAGAGGTACAAAGAAAAATATGTATATGGAGAAGTTAAGTTGAAAACTTAACGAGGTTCCATAATACATACATACCATAAAGCTTAGACGAATGTCTATATACGTAAAATTATGAGGGCATAAAGCAAATGTACTAAAGAAACGCATACCAAGTTAAAAGTAATCAACAATCATAAGGGATATTAAGAAAGCACTTAATAAAATATACTTTCTTGAACTTTGATTTTTGGTAATCTATATCCGTTATATTTCTACAGATGTTCCGTCTAATTTGACCGAAACTATTGTTAAAATTTAATTGTCAACGATAGCACTGTAAATGCAAAGTGATATTTTGTGTGTTCATTCTAATTGGTCAGATCAATCTGCTGATCTGTAGAGTTTAATCGTAATTCTGTAATTATAAACATACAATAACAGAAGAATTAAATCGTAATTTTGGTAAACATAATTATGGTGACCAATTACTCGTCACTAGTGATAATTTTTCACTGTGCGGACAGTGCGCAGCACACAACACAGCGCACTTTTTTTTTTTGAATAGATGTGCAGATGCCACATAGAAAAAAATTGAAATTTTGTAAGTAGTGCGCACAGTTGCAAAAATTTTCTCGTGGTTTTTTTTTTTGCCGCTCGTCATTTTACATTATTAATTAAACTAAAATAATTGCTTATTTCACATTACATTAATAATTTTTCTGTTATTAAAAATTAAATGTGTTTAAAGTAATAAATAATAAATTGCAGAACTTTTTTGCGAATAATGAATATATACAGTATACGCTTTATATTCGTCTTTTTGACTATGTTTTCGCGTCCATTAAGATAAAAGGAGCCGGCTTGATTTAATCCATAAGGGAATCCCATTTCTACGGACTTTAGATAATAACTGTCGCATATGATCGTGAAATCCGGATCATCGTGAAATTCCAATTTTTAAAATTTTTTGGGGTATACTTTTTTTTGAACCCGGCTAGTATTTAGGGTTATGGTTTATAATAAAAGAGTATAAGTAGGTTTTGTTAGGGTTGTGAGGGCTTATATTTTTAAATTAAGGCCCGAGATTTCACGATGATCCGACTTTACCATAATCCGCGACAATAACTGAAGGTTTTATGATCATCTTCTACCCGATTCCTTGTTCGTAACATATTCCGACCGGATTATAATAAATGACTTTTTTTCATTCTTTTCAATTCCGGCACCATATCTATAACAGTTTTTTTCCGACGTTATATGTTCCAATAACATTATTCATTTCGGCTGATTTTTGAAATAATCGTATGTTTGAACTTCATTTTACTAGACTCCTTTACCGTAATAATAACAAAATGGGAGTACGTTTAGAATTGTGGAATTAATTTGATTGTTTAAGCAAACAGTAATGATATTATGTGGATTCGAATTTTGTTCGTTGAGAATTTTTTCTAATGCGTTAAAAATTAATTGAAATCTACGGCTTTGGATTTTTTGTTGCGATATAAAATACACATGTTTTTTAATGATTTCTTGAAGATTTTTGGAACATCATTATCAGTTTTGACATTTTATGGTAAAAGTATAATCGACACTGTTAATTTATTCTCCGATTCTTATTTATACTTCCATACTATTTGTTCATGTTTATACCCAGATCTTGAGTTCTGTTTTCTTTTTGATTATACGTATATCTTTTTTTTTTTGAAACATCTATTGTTTTCATCACGGCGAATTTATGAATTTTAGCTAAAATTTGGTCACGAGTATTTTGTTCCCAAAATTACATATTCATAAATCAATACCAAACCTGATCTAGATTGATAACGCGTCTAGCCCATCTTTCACACCTTTGTTAGACATAAATTTATTATAACGACGCACCCTAATCGGGGAAACGTTGATTATCTCAGCCAAAACTATATTTACATATTAGTAGTAGTCAAATTCAAATTTTGGGGTGACATAAACGCGTGACTTTGAAAAAATAATTGATATCGAAATCAGCTTTGAAGCTATTTTTGATAGGTTTATCACTATATAAAAAATCTTTTTGATCTGAAGAACAAAGCTCAAATGTAGGTTTATTTAGTACTAAATTAATTTTTGAAATACTTGACGATTTTTTTGATACATTGTTAAAAAAAAAAGTCACCAAAAAAAGAAAACTAGACTTTACGAAATACACAAAAAATAGCAGTTATTGCTAATTCTCAGCGATACGATAGTAAATTGATCTACATTTTTACTATGACATATTTGGACAGGTGATATATTCCCTGACTGTTAATCGTGTGAATGGAAATCCGATTCTCAACCTTTTTTCAATTGTAATCAACATCATATCGCTATGTCGACAAATATTAACTTGGGTCTAACTAGGATTTATTCTCTTCTTGATTTACTTGATAAACCTCATCAAAGACTCTCTGTAATTCACATAGCTGGTACGAATGGTAAAGGGTCTGTTTCTGCATATATTGATCAAATAATTATAAAATCAGGTTTTAAAACCGCAAGATTTAATTCTCCCCACCTAATTGAACCTTATGATTCTATAAGGATAAATGGTCAACCGATTCAAAAAGATGATTATACTAAGACTTATAATTTTATTAATTCTATTAATTCCAATAACAATATCGGCGCAAGTTCCTTTGAATTATTAACTGCTACAGCAATTTGGTGGTTTGACTTTCAAAAAGTTGATTTGGCTATCATTGAAGTTGGACTTGGTGGAAGATTAGACGCTACAAACGTTTTCGAATCTCCTAATATTAGCATTATTACCTCTATAGGAATGGACCACATGAACTTTTTGGGAAATAGCATTGAATCAATATCAAAGGAAAAAGCTGGTATTATGAAAACTGGTTGTAAAGTTGTGATCGCTCCACAAATTGAACAAGTGGCTGAGAATACATTAAAGAAATGTTCTGAGGATATTGGTTGTTCACATATAATCTTCGTTAAACCTGCGACATGGAAATCAGAAATGGTCGGACTAGCATCAATGGATTTATTGGATAAAACACATTTTGAATTTTTTATCCCACTTAAAGGTGATTTTCAACTTGAAAATGCTGCTACAGCAGTTTTGGCAATTGACCTTTTGAGAAAGGCTGAACCTAAATTTTCTATAATAACAAATGATCATATTAAGGATGGGATAACTTGCGCGCAATGGCCAGGAAGGTTACAATGGGTTGATGTTTCTAAAATCATAAAATTATCAAAAACATCACAAGTATTGGTTGATGGTGCACATAATCCATCTGCAGCCAAAGCACTTAGAAATTATGTTGATAAGCAATTACAATTACAAAATAAGGAAATTACAAAGACTTGTAATGTTTGTTGGATTTTTGCCGCCACAAAAGAAAAAGATATTTCGAAAATACTTGAGTTATTAATGAGAAATGGTGATTCATTGTTTGCAGTGAGTTTTACGAATGTTGAGGGGATGCCTTGGGTTAAATGTTATGATCCACAAGTTATTTTAGAATATGCAAATTCGTTAGAATCAAAGATTAATTCAAAAGTTGTAGAAAATTTAGGTGAAGCGCTACGTCAGGCATTTGTAAGTTACAACAAACAATATCGAATTGTGGTTTTATGTGGAAGTTTGTATTTGGTCGCTGATTTATTCAGAATGCTTCAATGATTTAAATATTTAAAATGTAAATAAAAGATTGATCAAGCAAGCACATTTAATCATTAAATCTATAATATATCTTATAAGAAATGTGCGCTAGGTTGGACACAGTGTTGACCACCTTTATACTGTAAGTCGAGTAATTTGAATTGGTATTGGACTTATACGTTTCAACTGTTTAACACTGGCTGGATAGTATGTAAGTCGATGAAAGTAGCGATTTTGATCGAACAAAATTTTTTTGATTAATCATTGTTCATGTTTGCTTGTCATTTTTTTTGGAATAGAATAGCATTCTTGATTAAACTTAACGATTATTATATTCGATTTTTGGTGTAATTGATCGTATGTAATAGTTATATCCCGGTTAGTTGGGTATAAGCGGAAATTTAATTTCCGCTTATACACATAGTACCCAGGGCATAATAATAAAAAAAGTAAAATTAAGTAATTGGTCATTAATTACACGAAATATGTCCGATCTATGATGCGATGATGATTGTTATATTTTACAAGAAATTGTAAGCCAAGTATATTCTAAGCAATTTTACTTAATTCTGGTAATTGATCTAATATTTTCCAAAACTTGCTAAATTATCTAAATTACAATTGAAAAAAGGTTGA